TAAAGATTACCCACATTTAGCAAATAAATGAACCCAAGCACATGACTCTGGGACTATTCTTACACCAACTTATTTGTGTTTCATGATGCAGCTTCACAAATGCATTTCCTTACCCCTCAGAATAATGGCATGTGCACACAGATCCCCAAACAAATGTGAAGCTTCTCATCCAAAACTGCCTCTGGTAAGATTTTGCTGGAAACTTTCCAGGCAAAATGCTTGTCTTGTGTTTCACGTCCCATGCAGCCTGCAAAATGGAATTATTTGTTTGTTGCTGCTTTGCTTTTATTTGTGCACACTGACGCCACAGGGACTTCTTCTGAGGGTATTTTTCAGCCAAGAAGATTAACCCATTTAAATACAGTGAAATAAATAGATTTATCATTAGAAGGACTTCAGGCTGTTCTCTCTTTCCTTCCTTCCTTCCATTCATCCATCCATCCATCCATCCATCCATCCATCCATCCATCCATCCATCCATCCATCCATCCATCCATCTCTCCATCCATCTATCTATCTATCTATCTATCTATCTATCTATCTATCTATCTATCTATCTATCAAATATCTGCCTGCCTTTGTAGATAGTAGAATAACAGAATTAAATTCCTTACACTGACTGAAACGATCTAATTAGGTTTATCTTGTTTTGGGTATACACTGAAACTGTGAGCAAGCGTTGAGCTAATTAAGTCAGGCAGATTTACCTGCCTCATGTACATCTTGGAGCTGTTGCCCACAGCTCCATCAGCCTGCTCTTTTGCCAAAAGTCATTGCTATTCCACCTGAGGAACAGAGGCAGATGGGACTCATAAGCCTTCCTGTAACAACTACAGTCTGAAGAGGAATGTGATTTGGAGGCATCTGCTACTAGTACAAAGGAGAAAATCCTATCTGCTCTGAGACACTGTGAGTTTTTATCAGCTTTCCTAAGCTATTTACAATGGTGAAGTGGGTTCCCTTTATTTTTACGTTTTTAGCTGTCATCAGTAATTATTTTTTAAGTGAACCATAGTTAAAAACAGTGGGAATAGCCAGCATGAAGCATTGTTCATCTGAGTAATGACAGGAAAGATGTTTCTGTCTTGAAGATAAGCATAGCCTCTATCGGAAATCAGTGCAGGTGTAGGTCCTGCTTGCTTGTGACCCCAGAAGAGTCATTCAGAAGGTAGCTCCAAAGTGACTGGGAATTAAAACCAAAATGAATACCCCGATCCCAAGCTGAAACATACATTCCTATAAATGCAAGTGAGAAAGGAAGACCCAAGAAGATAGAGGTATCTGAGGTGCCCATCAGTTTATGTACTTTTCAGTTATGCTAAGGCACCTTCAATTCAAACACGTGATCCTTGACAGCCAGCATAGCTTCACTAAATGCAGATCATACCTAATCAATGTGGTTGTCTTTTATGATGGACAGACTGCATCAGTAAACAAAGGAAGAGCAACTGATGAAATCTACCTGGACTTCTACAGGCCTCTAATATGGTCACACAGCACATTCTTATATCTAAATTGGAAAGATGTGGATTTGAAGGGTGGACAATTCAGTGGATAAGAAGTTGGTTGGATAGCTGTTGCCAGAGGGTTGTAGTCAACAGATCTATGTCCAAGTGGAGGCTGGCGATATCCCCCAGGTCTCTATCTCGGGACTGGTACTCTCCAACATCTTTATCAGTGACATAAATAGGGGGACTGAGTGCACTCTCAGCAAATTTGCAGATGACACCAAGCTGAATGGTGTAGCTGACACAGAAGAGACAGATGCCATCCACCTGGACAAGCTCAAAAATTGGGCACATGAGAATCTGATGAAGTTTAACAAGGCCAAGTGCAGGGGAGAGAGAGGTAATAGTCCTCCTCTACTCTGCCCTGGTGAATCTCCATCTGGAGTACTATGTTCAGGCCTGCGGTCCCCAGTAAGAATAACACAAAGCTGTGGGAATGGCTCCAGAGGAGTGCCTTGAAGATGATCAAAGGGCTGTAGCACCTCTCCTATAAAGAAAAGTTTAGGGAATTGGGCTTTTTCAGCCTGGGGAAGTCTTCACAAACATCTCATTGCAGACTTCCAGTATTTAAAGTGAGCTTATAATCAGGAGGGAAACAAACTTTTTACACAATCTGACAGTGATAGGACAAGAAGGAATGGCTTTAAATTAAAAGAGGTTACATTTGAATTAAATATAAGGAGAAAAGTTTTTTTTACATAGATGGGTGGTGAGATACTGGCACAGGCTGCTCAAAGAACCTGTGGATGCCCCATCCCTGGAAGCATTCAAGCCCAGGTTGGATAGGGCCCTAAGCAGCCTGATCTGGAGTGTACTGACCCTGACCACAGCAGGGGAGTTAGAACTAGATGCTCTTTGAAGTCCCTTCCAACCCAAGACATTCTATTAAGTATTTGACCCAGTTCTAAACATACAGCAAAGAAATTACCTTGAACTTCAGAGGATAACGTGGTAACTTGCTAAGCTGTCATAATTACAAGCTGTATCTGTGGCCCCCCAGTGTACTTAACAGCTAATTTCTCACAGAAATTAGTGGCAGTTCTCCACTCGAGCAACTGTCAGGTACCTAAACAAAATCTGGACTTGGGGAGATTCCTAACAGAGTTTTCGCAGAGGTGCTGGAAAAATAGGGGAAGATACACAGTTAAGTTGGCAATAAGGGCATAGGAGTATCTCAGATGAAAAATAACCTTTAGTTCTGTCTGAAAAGAGGGCCTATAGAATGTTTCATGACCATTTGGGAACCACTCAATGTTGAAGCTGCAGTCTTGTAGCTTAAGGGAGCTAGCAAACAAAGGACAATCCAGATTTTCGGCTTCAAAAACAATTAAATCATTTTAATGTCTATTTCTTTGCTGCAGTAAGCATAAGTGTAGAAAGAAGCTATTCAGAGACTTCCGCTAGAAAAATGAGCAGTTGGATTCCTCCCCATAAGAGATAAGAGGTGCAAGGAAAAGGAATGGTGGTGACTGGTGCAAGCGTCCTGGCTTTTCCCACCACAGAGTGGATGCATGCAGAATCAAATCGGCTGAATCATTGAAAATTGGGAAGTCTTGATTTCATTTGGAGAAGTGCATGAATGAAGATTGGGTTATTACAGACATCAATCACGCTGAAAATGAGACAGAGATCAAACGAATAACTTAGAAGTTATGGTGTTACTGTAGTCTGTTTTTCTATTACTGTCACTGCACTTATCAGAAAAGTCAAAATTGTTCATTTGCCTTTGATAGATAAATACAGGTCTATTAAAAAAACTCTTTTCTTGTGAATTTTTTTTCCTACATCTTTGAACATTTTATTTATTTTTGCCTCCCTTGATTTAACATGAACAATTTACTTTTATTGACAAGCTAAAAAAAAAAAATCACAACATTTATAAGCTTTGTTTAGATTTAAATCCTTAAATAACATTGTTCTTCAGTTTAGAGCTTAAAATGGAAATGCATTTTGACTGAAAAGGGGAAAAAAAAACCAACCACAAAATATATACCTCCAACAATTACAACTTCGAAAGCAAAATTCAATAGTATGAATTCTTTCTTTTGAACAGTTAGGATGAACAGGCATTTTTCTACTATAAAAAAAAATCCAGCCTGTTTTGCTTTCTTGTTCTTGTACCAGAATCTTCATCCATCTGTACACAAACCTCTGTGAAGATTATAGTGTGAAAGGAAAGAAAAACCAGAAAGTCCTTAATCTCTTGAGCTGACTACCAATTTGGTTGTCTAGTCCATCCTCACAAAGGTCACCTTAATCCTATTTTCCACAAGACAGTGCTCCCTGTATTCCCATGGATTCCAACAGAAGGTATCTGGATGTGAAGAGATGATAGCTCTTGCTACAGTATCCGCTCCCCATGGATCTCCTGCAGGTAGAGCTGGTTGGTGATCCAACTGATTAGCTGTTGCTGATGATGCTGAAGTACAGGAGATGTACATAGCTTATCTCAGTCATTCAGTTAGTGTTTGAGATGAGTCACCAGATAAAGATGCAGAATTTGCACAGACAGAGCCAAGCAACTGTATCATTAATAACTAGAGAGGAGGAGCTGACATTTATTTGCTCAAATATCCATAAACAAAGACTCTCAGAAAATGGTTGTTTTCAAATGAGTCATTGAATGGGCATGGCAACTGGGCCTGCAGCAAATCCTCTGCGAGACACTTGGGTTCTCAGTTAAGAACTTTGTCTTCTAGGGGAAAGAGAAGCTCCAGATTTGATACAGCACTCCTCCTTGTTGGCAGGGATTTTATTACTCCCAGTGAAACACTGTGTGTCAGGGCTGTGATGGTCTCTCTACTCCTTAGGTTTGTGGCCTCTATTAGCTTTTTCAGATTAAAACTGAAAATGTTCCAAAATTGAAATGTAGGGCAGTGTTATCACTTGACACATTTCCTGTTGGGTTTGTATAGCTTCATCAATGGACACATGTCATTTAGCTACCCCAGAATTCCATGACCTTCTGTCATCCCATTGGCAATACTGGCATGATCTGCTTTTTTAACCAACCCCCTCTGTCATTCTTGACAGACTTTCTTTACAGTTTAGCAGCAGTTTGGGGGGTCAGTTTCATGGCAGCTATGTTAGGAAGGGACTAGATCTTGCTGTCTATGTGATCTTTCCTGTCACTGCCAGTGTGCTTGGAACCCACCAAAGCAAATTAAAGCACCACCAACTGTGCAAACATAACCCTATGGCTTCAGGTGGCTGTCCAGAAAGGATAGGAACAGTCACTCAAGTTTGGACTAAAACGAAGAGGACTGGCAAACTTAAAAAACTCAACTACTTAAATATCTGATTTATAGTCAGTATTTGCATTCTGATTTTCCCTATGCAGAAAAACAAACAAACAAAAAATAACAACCAGAGGTATATACAGGCTTTGTGCAAAATACAGAAGTATTTTTTATTTCTGCAAAACCTCTGTTGTAGAATTTAAAAAAGGGTGCTTTGAGAACAATGGGTTTCTACATCCTCTTAAAAGAATACCTCAGAGAAAACTTGGCTTTCATGAAGAATAGATAGGTCCAGCAGATCCCCATGTGCATCGATCCATCATCTGTCTGAGAGACATGCAGGATTTAAGCAACCAGAGAATTCCAACCTAAACAAACGTTCATTGCTACCAATTTTAGAGGACCAGTGTTCAGATACTATACAAACAGATAACATCATAAAGTAAAAGTGGTTTGGAAACTTCCCAAGGAAACATCTTTTCTCGCATAAAATAACAATGCATGGAAAGAGAAAAACTCCAGACACACAAATGCATTTTGATGAATGCCTATTTCAAGATAAGTTTTTGATGAGGTTAACATTTTCTGGTTAGAAATGAAATTTTTAGATGCCCCATTTCTGAAAAGTGTATTAAAAAATGTATGAAAAATGTATATTTTTATAATGGGTGTTATAAGAGGAATATCAAAACGACAAAGATTTTATTTTCCAGAGCTGAAATACTTCGACTGCTCTGAAAGGATATTTTGAGCTCTTTGCCTCAGAACTGTACTTGATGACGAGAGGTTTCATTTTTTGCTCACTACTGTCCTGTTCCAAAGCAATGAAAAAATGTGAGACTACCAGAGTTCTCCAGAGGAAATTTCCTGATCCCACCTCTTTCTAAACCCTAAAGCTAAAAAGTCTCCTTTCATAACTGCCATGGGTACACCATAATTCCATACTCAAAATGCAACTGATGATAGTCATGTTACAGCAGAAGGATGACACGTCCATCGCCCTACAAGCATACAGTTGGGTAAAGCATGAACTGGGTTATGAAATAATTGACTCACATAATTAAAGAAAAGCCCAGAATACAGGCAAAAGTGTTGGTGATGTCAACCAAGGATTCTATTTACAGATTGACTGCTAGTAGAAAGTACAGTGTTTCTTCAAAGGAAATAATGGAAAGGAAGGAATTAGATGTGAGCTCTGCAAGAGAGGAAAGAGTTACTTGGTGACACAGAATTGGACTGGGTCCAATAGGATTACCAGCAAGAAAGAGAGACTCTGGTTTAGTCTTGCTATCTTTGTTCCAACTTTTCTTCTGAAAACAAAAAAAGAAAATTCACAGGCTCATGGCTGCATGCAACATATAAGAGTATTTTCACATCTGCAAAGCTCTCACTGAAGAATTAAATAATGAAGGCCTTTGTAAGTAATCACTTGGTATGTGTTCTTAAAAATAGCTGCATCCCAGACAAATCAGCTTTTGTTCAGAAATTGGCCAGGCTGCATGGGCAAGGCAGCCGGGACAGGTGATGATAGGGACAGCAGCTCACTATTGTGTTGTGAAACTTCATACAATATCACCATTCTGTGTTTTGGGACCCTGGCAATTCTTAAGATGAAGAGAATCAAGTCTGGTCAGGTACGCTGGGTACATTTTCTCCCAGGAAGGGAGGAAAGAGGATCAGTTTATTGCTGAATGCAGCACACATCCTTTCACAACAGATGTGTTTGGAGACTAAGGCACTTCACTCCCTATACTTAAACATTACACTCTCCCTACTGGCTGTATCATTTAAACAGTCATTCATAAGAAATAGCAAAACGAATCTCAAATACCATGTTCTGTTTGAGTAAGAAAGTAGTGAAAAGCAGTGTTAACTAATGTGCTCTTAAGAAGAAGGATCTCAACGAGTATTCTGCCCTTCTTGTGGACTGGCAATTTAATTAACTTCTGTACTGTGAGTATGAGTCTATTCTCCATTTGATTTTCTGATGGAAAAGGTATATTCTGGTATCTGTTTGGTTATTTACTGAACAGAAGAGCTGATGCCTAGCCAAAAATGTACACAAGGAGCCTTTCTTTGAGTCTCTTATGATGAGCACGTAGCCTCTGCTCTTACCCAGTTCTTGGTGTTTGGCTGCAATGAAGTCCATGGGGACTAACTAGCGTGTAACAAAAACAAGGATTCATTATTTCTACTGTTGTTTCTTCCTCCTATGAGCATGAGCATGATCTCTTCTGGGAGCTAACTGGATCTTGACAGGGATCTGGAAAGTACTCCTAGGTAAGATTCAGCTTGTTAGAGTAGGTTACCTACTTTAAATGCCTCTTTTTTTCTCTTCTGCTCCTTTGCTCTAGACTCTAATAGTGTTCAGCAGAGTATATTCTGTAGGTCACTCCAAAAGGAATCCCTCCTATTTACTTTCATAGAAACTGCAACAGATATGAAGAGCACAATAACACTATTTGATAGAGCAAATTCTCAGCTAAAAAAATATATATATAAATTTTTTTTTCAACATAGTCACTGCTACCTATTGTTGCTACTGCTGAAACACACCACCCACTGCCTCACTGCACTCACATCTACTGTTTGTTCTCCATAAGTGTTCAGGAAGCATCAGTGAATGTCAGTGGAAGCCATTTTTTCCACACAGAGGAACCCAGTGACACATCTTTGCTTTATACACTCTAACATGTAGGATGCCATTTTGTCAGACTGCTCCTCTGATGCCATTTGTCACATGGCAGCAAAACATAATGGAATATTGGCAGGAAGGTTCAGTATCTACTGCCATATCACCAACATCCACCTCTGATGTCATGGGCCAAGGTCATAAAAAAGGAGGAACTTTTGGAGCAGCTCTCATACATATGTGCATTCATTTTAGTTTATAGCTGCTATGAAGACTGCAAACAGAAATTTGAGAATAGCTGGCCTAGTTTTTGTTGCTCTTACCTCTGTTAGAATGTGTTAGCAATTTTCAAATTGAATTAATTATAATTCATTTTATTGGAATTGGGAAATTCACCTTTTGCCTGACAGTAGTAATATACTGGTAGAACACAACCGAAAAACCATTCCTGCAAAAACCATGAGCACAGATGATGTGAAATGGGGTTATGTCGCCCAGTATCTGCTGGCTGAGGCTCTTTGCTGTTTTGCCTTGTAACGGGTGCTGTGAGGACACCAGGCAGTTTCATCATTCCTGGTTTCCTGGCTCCTGCTTCTATTCCAGAACACACTCTTGAGAAATTGCATGGGATGACGCTACAGCTTATACCTCATCTGCGTATTAGGCTACGTAGTATGGCAGGTCAGCTCATCTGAAGAGATTCTTTCTCCAAAGGCAGCTGGGACTTTGCCATGGGTGCCCACTCAGCTTGGCAGGAAGATGAACAAGAACATTTGTAAATTTTTGTCTCATACAATGTATTCCCGTCTTCCTTCCAGCCCTGATTTTGAAACTAGCATCTGACTGGTTCAGTTGAGTCTTCCCATGTCTTTCTAACATTCCTTTTCAATTTGGGCATATTGTTCTGCCTGGTGATAGTGGCTCTGATAATTACATGAGTCAGCCATTTTGCGCAGTTTGGCAACACACCGATCTATTGTATTTTTAAGTTTCTTGGATGATGTTCCTGTTTCTATGGGCTGAAAAGCACTTCTAGGATTTTACAGAGTCCTTCCTGGTCCCCTCTTGCCCCTACCAAACATAAAAAGTGCATATGAAGGACTTCATCGCAGAGAACTTAAAACGTGTCTGTTTGCATTCTATTTTCTTCTCCACTCACTTGGATCCAAAAGGGATTTCAGCAACAGTCCAAGTCCCCTTCACATTTATCTGCCAGATCTGGGATGCTGTTATGTTGTGCCTTCACCGTGTTCTACTTCCTTTCTATGACACTGCTAGTTTCTCTTTCTTGCAAGTTCCATTTTCTCATTCTGCCACCCTTCATGTTCCAGCACAAAAGAAGGATGCTTCTACAGAGAAGTCAAAGAGTTCCTAATAACTGCTTGAGAGGGTCCTTATTATTATAGAAGTGCTCTCCTGAACTAAGTTATTTGTAGTTATCAATTCATCCTATTAAGCCAGCCATGGAAAAAGGATGGTTTGTTGTTATTTTGCATTTGACTGACACCTTATCTCCCAGGAAAATGAGCATATAAAACACCAGTGTCTTCATTCCTAGAAATAATTTTTATTATTTTTTTTTTTTTAAACAAAGTGCTTGAGCTTAAGGGTCTGAAAAGCAGCTTCTGCTAGCAAAACTGAAGTCACTGGAAGATTCCGCAGGTAGCCAACAGAAAAAAATATATAGGCATAACAGGGTAACTATGGAAAAATAAATTCAACCACAGATTTTTCCTCTTTTTTCCTCTACTAAAAGACCAATTCCACTGGCCAAAATATAGTTAACAACAGTAACATCCCAGATTGGCCTCTATTTCTTAGCCAGACCTACCTGCTAGATGCACTTTCCTACCTGTTCCAATGGGAGCAGCCCCACTCCATGGAGCCACTGCCCTTCATCACACTCAGCTCCTCCAAATGCAGAGGGAACAACAGGTGTTAACTTATAAGAAATAATCCCTTTCAGTCAGAGAATAGATACACAGCAGGTCAGAGACCTAAAGGCGGTAGATGGGCCTTAAGAAGAGCTGAAATAATTTTATGACCAATGAAAGCACTTGCCTGGTTGTTTCTGTATAATCAGTGAGAGAAGAGTAATCAAAGCTGGTTCCTTGGGGCACCAGCTAATGATACTAATTAGCACACAGATAGGGCCTTGCTGAAAGCATTACAACCAGGCACCTGCTAATTAATTAGCTGATTGTCTGTAGGGAAATGATCTTGTGTTCTTCTCCCTCTCCTGCAGGATTGTATAAGGGGAAAGAAATGAGGGAGGCTTTTATGCTTTCTCATAAAGTAGATGCCACTGTAGGATAGTTCAGGATGGTGAGTTTGGGCAGTTTCTTTGAAACTGTGACTCTCCTGAGGTTTTGCACTGACTGTTCTCTATACTCAGGCTATAGCAACAATATTTAACTCTCAGTCCCTGGCTTCTGGGAAGAGAATTTTATGTGAAAAACAGTTTATGTGAGTTTCTATCATTCAAGTGCAATGCTACTGATAAGTAAAATCAGATGCTGGTATAGGCTCTCAGTATCACCGCAGGCTCTCGGGAAGTTTTGAAGATCAAAGATCACCCCCTCTGATCAGGGCTGGCTGCCTTTCCCAAGCAAGGTTCCTTGCAATGACTACAGCTTTAATGAAATCCAATGTCCTGACTTTACAGTGACCACTCTGGCTCCAAGGAGATCAGCTC